CTCGACCAAATTTTAGCCTGTAGGCATATTTCATAAAGTGTGAGAAGCTAAAAAAAGATAATTCATTGAAAGGAAGTTGGAAGTCCCTCTAATGAGCCGTCCACAGCGCCCTGTGCTTCTTCTTGTGTCCCAAGAAACTAGATTCTTTCCAACCGCTTTCCTATCAGAATACAAGAGGTTTACTAAGTAAGCTGACTGTTTTGTACACTGATAATTTTTTCCTCGTCTTCCACACGTACGCGGTTACTCTATGCGAGGAGTACATAGTAAGTCAGTACCTCAGGTGCGGATTTGTTCAAAAGGTGCCCATACAAGTTTTCATCAAAGGTGGCAAGCGTCTGTGGTGGGCACTTAACACTAAGTGGGTATTCGCTAACTTATGGGCAGGTCCTCATCTGGCAAATTTTCTTCGAGAAAGAACGACTATTGGCCATATTGCCGGACTTTATAAATGAAATGCGAGCTTGGAAGAGACGGTGCTAACTGACAAAAGCTGAGTAATACGCTACAGGACGCTAGCTATTGACATAAGACTTTCCAAATTGCGCTGCTTACGAAAATAAGGAATCGAAATCTAAAATCTCAACACTCTAGCTCTTAGATCACAGCGCTCACATACGAGTCAGTCTTTAAAAAGATACGCTACTCCCGTAGTATTTCGTTTAGCTATTGCTACCGCTTTCACTTTGACGAGAGCAAGAGCAGAGCCATAGCAGACCAACGAAAAAGGATGTGCTCTGCTCTGCTCGGAGCTTCGACGAGTGGCGAGCTATAGCTATAGCAACAGCAGAAAATGATATTCTGTGCTCTGCGAAGTCGCCAAAAATTTAGAGCGAAATGAGAACAGAGCAGAGCTCTATGTTTATCTTATTTAGCTGTAAACTAGTGTAATGGGTGAACCAACAGAGGATTTTGATACAGCTGGCTACGAATTGGGCAGTTATTTCCCTAAATTAGGGATTGGGCCCCAAGCTACGAAAAAGGAGCAAACTCGACTTTCAAAAATTTTTCCTCGAAACACATTATTTTATCAGAATCGGAGGTTTAGACACTTAATACTAGTAAAACTTAATTTGTTTAATCAACAGCGGCTTGTTGGTAACAAAAAACCCTTACAAAGGCGGAGTACGGCTTATATTTTTCAGGAAATAATGTGAGTATAATAAAACTAGTGTTCACTGATTACAATTTTATTCAGAAGAGAATGATACTCATTCTACCAGGCTTAAAACTAAAAAGGCGGAATAATTATGAATAATTATAGATATGAATAGATGAAAATTTCAACGCAAAGCGCCTTATAAGATCTTAAAAATTAGATCTTCAGCGCAAGCTTATTTCAGCAGGGTACAACGCCCTTTTCAACGCCGACAAGCGCTTATAACGCTAAAACCTGTCTGGCGCCCACATTTTCGATGATTTTGTAAAAGTTAAATGGGAGATGGACTTTATTGATGAATACCTATCTAAATGCTGAGAATCGTACCAGACTCATTGTTATTACAAAAGTTATGACTAAGCTAAACAGGCTTTGACATGCAGCAGTACCCCTACCGTCCAGTACGTGCACTTTCTAAAACTTATTTTTTCAACTTTTTATGCCCTTGCAGAGGGTATTATGATTTCAGTCAGAAGTTTGCAACGCAGTGAAGAAGACGTTTCCGACCCCATAAAGTATATATATTCTTGATCAGCATCACTAGACGAGTCGATCTAGCCGTGTCCGTCTGTCCGTCTGTCCGTATGAACGCTGAGATCTCGGAAACTATAAAAGGTACAATACTGGGATTAGGCATGAAGATTCCTGCGATTCCTGCGCACGCCCACAGGCCGCCCAAAACTGTGGCTCCTACAGTTTTGATGCTAGAGTATGAAATGTATTGTTCTCATCAATACCTATCGATTGACCCAAAAAAAGTTTGCCACCCCCACTTTAACGTCCACAAAACCGCCCACAAACACAAACTTCAAGAGATATCAAGAGATATCTCGGAAACTATCAAAGATACAGAATTGGGATCTCAGATTGTACGCAGCATATGTTTGTTACGCGAATATGCCACGCCTACTATTACGCTCACAAACCGCCCAACCTTGTGGCGCCCACAATTTGTATTCTAGATAAAAATTTTTAACTGAAATGTATTAGGCTCGTCAACACCTATCGATTGATATACAAACTTCGTCTTGCCGAAACTACCTTCCTTTCTTGTTCTTTATGGTACCTAAGGGAAATAATATTGTATAATAATTGGGTGAGAGCATGACCCTAAAAATGCATACAAAACAAGAAAGGAAGTTAACTTCGGCAAGCCGAAGTTTCTATACCCTTGCAGTTATAATTATTAAATTTAAAAATACAGAAAATGATATTCCCAATGGTATAAGATAATATGTCAAGAAACACCGAAGCTATAATTTTTTTCATATAATTTTCCCACCAATTTTCCGACCGTTCCTATGGCAGCTTTATGATATAGTCGTCCGATTTTGATAAAATTTAATTCAAAATTCAAAACTAATTAAAAAATGTTATTTCTAAGCTTAGGAGGTTATATGTTAAACAAGGAAGAACGCTATAGTCGAGTACCTCGACTATCAGATACCCGTTACTCAGCTAAATGGAGATATGCAAGCAGCAAAGCGAGATTAAAATGCGCCACCTACCGGCGGTATACAGATTTAAGCGTTATGGGCGTTAGAGTGGGCGTGGCAAATTTTTTTTGGATTAATCGATAGGTATCGACGAGACCAATACATTTCAGTTACAATTTTTTATCTAGCATGAAAATTGTGGGCGTCACAGGTTTTTGCGGTTTGTGGGCGTTAAAGTGGGCGTGGCAAACTTTTTTTTAAATCAATCGATAGGTAATGACGAGACGAATACATTTCAGTTAAAATTTTTTATCTAGCATAAAAATTGTGGGCGTCACAGGTTTTCGCGGTTTGTGGGCGTTAAAGTGGGCGTGGCAAACTTTTTTTTAGGTCAATCGATAGGTATTGATGAGAACATAACATTTCAGTTAAAATTTTTATTCTAGCATCAAAACTGTAGGAGCCACAGTTTTGGGCGGTTTGTGGGCGTTAGAGTGGGCGTGGCACTCTACTGAAACAAACTTGCGCTGCGCAGGAATCTCAGGAATCTGCGTGCCTAATCCCAGTATTGTAACTCTCATAGTTTCCGAGATCTCAGCGTTCATACGGACAGACGGACAGACGGACAGACGGACAGACGGACAGACGGACAGACGGACATGGCTAGATCGACTCGGCTAGTGATCCTGATCAAGAATATATATACTTTATGGGGTCGGAAACGCTTCCTTCTGCCTGTTACATACTTTCCGACGAATCTAGTATACCCTTTTACTCTACGAGTAACGGGTATAAAAATACAAAAATGAAATTCCTAACAATATAAGATAATATGTCAAGAAACACCGAAGCTATAATTTGTTTCATATTATTTTCCCACCAATTTTTCGATCGTTCCTAAGGCAGCTAAATGATATAGTCGTCCGATTTTGATGAAATTAAATTCGAAATTCAAAACGAATTAAAAAATTTTATTTCCAAGCTTAGGAGGTTTTATGATAAAAAACACCATAGATATAATTGTTTTAAATTTTTTTTCGATTATTCCTATGGGAGCTACAAGATTTAGTTGTCCGATCCGGATGGTTCCGACTTATATACTACCTGCAAAAGAAAAAAGACTTTTGGGAAAGTTTCAGCCCGATAGCTTTAAAACTAAGAGACTAGTTTGCGTAGAAACGGACGGAAAGACGGACATGGCTAGATCGACTTGTCTAGTCATGCTGATCAAGAATATATATACTTTATGGGGTCGGAAACGTCTTCTTCACTGCGTTGCAAGCTTCTGACTGAACTCAATATAACCTCTGCAAGGGTATAAAAAGTTCGCTCTAAGGTTCATAAGCAACACACTTTGAAATTAAATTTAACAAGAGAGAACGCTACACTCAATGCCATCGACTATTAGATACCCGTTACTAAGTACTAGAGGCACTCAGGGAGTTCGAGGATTTTATTAATATACAAGTAGAAATGAGCCTGTTCCCAAGAATGCACACTTTATTTTCTTTGTATAGTTGGTCATTGATAATCAAAGCAAAAACTCTTTTAAATTTTTCGAAAATAATGGGTTTTAATATAAGTGGGTTTTCGCGTATAGGCGTTTGTGGGCATTACAGTGGGCGTAGCACCCTGCTTGCGCTGCACAAGAAGCTTAAGAATCTACATGCCAAATCCCAACTTTCAGCGTTCATACGGACATTCGGACAGCTGGGCATGGCGAGATCGACTCGGCTAGTGATCCTGATCAAGAATATATATACTTTACAGGGTCAGAAACGCTTCCTTCTACCTGTTACATAGTTTTCGACGAATCTAAAATACCCTTTTACTCTACGAGAAATAGGTATCAAAATATTGATTCGAAATTTTTTTAAAATAGGAACCTTTTAGATAGGAATCTTATATAAGAAAAGTTTGTGCCACTTTGTCTTGCAAAGAAGTAGTATTTTTTGTGCTATTTACATGATTATAGCTGCACCTTGCACGCTCGTCAAATTATATAACCACTTTGTGTGCTACAGCAAATTCAATCTCAGAGGCCAAAACCAGACCCTCAACCACACTTAATTAGTAATAGCTCCTAAAAGAGCTCGAAATAGCAATGCTACAAATGTAAAGCCCCTGAAATGTTTAAGCTTAATTAGGCCGTGCCGCTAAGCGAGCGCAGGAAGAGAATTGTGAGACTTAAGATCCGACAAATACCAGAGCCTAAGTCTGAACCATCTGCCGCTTCTTCTGAGACTGTGCACTGAGTCTGGGCAGAGCAGCCAAGATCAAGATCCGCGTCAAACGAAAGTGAGCTTACGGAGAGAACGAGCGTCGCGCCGACGTCAACGCAAGCGTTTACTCATCTACCGCCACAAGCAGCGCTGCGGCATAGCTCAGTGTGATTCACTTGCTCGCATCTTCGACGGCTGACGTCGGCTGCGCAGCTTCTGCGGTGCGATGCCGTTGGCTTTGCTGGGCACATATAAAACAAACGATGGTTAAATATTCACAATCATATTCAAGTGGTTCGTTAGTGCGTTTGATTTCGCGTCCGAGAAAGAAGAATCGTGATCTTTTCTGTGTAAGGAACAAAAGTGTTGAATTTTAATATCCATGGTCAACATCTGAAAAGTCATCCGTACTTAGCCTTGTCAAGTTAAAAGTTAAAGGACATCTGCGGATACTTTCTTAGACGTGTACTGCCTGGCCTCCGGCACGCTACGTTTTTAGATGTCGCTATGCCTCCAGGGCAAATTAGCCTTAGGCTTTATTATGTGCAGCCGTAGCCTTTTGTGGTTATAAATAAAAAATTGATTTGCGGTTGATTGATTTAGGGATTGTTCCATTGATTCGGTTTCAGTTGTCGCTGCTTCGAGGTTTCCGAGTCCCTACCTTCCACTGGCAGTCAGTACAGTCATTTGATATTAATACCCGTTACTTGTAGAGTGAAATGGTGTACTAGATAAGTCGGAAAGTATATAACAGGTGGAAGGAAGAGTTTCTGACCCCATAAAGTAATATATATACTCTTTCTTTCTGGTTCAGAATCACTAGCTGAATCGATCTAGCCGTGCCCTTTTGTCCGTATGAACGCGGATATCTCGGAAACTATAAGAGATTGAGTGTTGGGACTTGGCATGCAGGGTGCCACGCCCACTCTAACACCCACAAACTACCATAACACAAAAAACCTGTCTAATATTGTGTAAAAATGCAAACGAAATTGTAAATTTGTTATAATCAACACCCATCTATATGCCAAAAAATATTGAAATCGAACCAGTCATAAAAGTTATAAGTAAATCATGATCGAGATTGCACACCACATACAGCAAATCAGCTGTTTCCATTAAGTCACTAGGGGCGCTATAGGCTAGGTTACGCTTAAGGCTGGGTGTGATAGTGAAAAAAACAGATTTGCTATATGCTGATATGCTTTAATCTCCATCCCTCTCGCACTCCCTTAAGCTGAGTAACGTGCATCTACCCTGCAAGCATTTTCTATCGCGGAAGGCACTATTAAGTGACTTCTAGAAGATAAAAATGATCGTCCGCGATATCCCATTCGGATCGCGGAAGTGACTCCCTTCGGGAAGAAGTGTGCTACTTCGGCGACACTTCTCGAAGTCACTTCTGCGATACTTCTGGAAGTGTCGCCGAAGTCACTCCTGGAAGTGTCGCCGAAGTGCCTCCGAGAAGGGCCGCCGAAGTGGTACATTTCGATATCGCCGAAGTAACTTCTGGAAGTGTCGCCGAAGTGGCACATTTCTTCCCGACGGGAGTCACTTCCGCGATCCGAATGCGATATCGCCGAAGTAACTTCTGGAGTCACTCAAAAGTGACTTTACATATATAAAGGCATTTTCCGCTTGAATACACGGTCTCTGGCATGTAGGAAATTTTGCTGAACAATGTTATTTAGGTCCAGCTCCGTCGACATAAGAAATGTATTATTTATTAATACCCATTTCTAAAAAAAACAGAAACAAAAATTGTTTTTTGTTCAGTCAAAGTAAAAATAAACTGGAAAACATTACTTTTACAATGAAATTGGTTGAGAATCGTTGGACGCTGGGTTTCTCCGCAGTTACACGCCAAGTAAAGTCCACAGCTAGCTTGTCCGTAAATAGCTTTAAATAATCGTACACCTCACGATAAGCACGTAATTTCGCACCTTTTGTTGAGAGGGACATTGAAATATGTTAAGCAATTAAAACCATTTAGAAAAAAACAAAGCTATATTTTTAAAACGCACAAATTTGATACAAAGCCGCACTGTACACAGACAAATCGCGCAACGAAATGACGCTCGGGCGAAAAATAAAAGCGTGGGTCAAAAGGAAGACCAAAAAAATTTTCAAAAAAAAAGCGGTACCGGAAAAATACCGCCACCTCTTTTTATGGCTTGTTTTTTTCCACTAGTTTAGTTCTTGTAAAATGTGTACTATCGTCTTTCTATCGTCCAGAAGTGACTTAGAAGTTACTTCTACGCGATACATGTATATTCTGATTTTGTAAGTAGTGTACTATCGTTTTTCTATCGCGATTTCAGGCGATTGAAAAATCGCCCTTTTGCTTGCAGGGTAATAGTCGAGGCCGTCGACCATAGCGTTTTCTCTAGTTGGATTTGGCTACCACTGTGCATTTTGTTTATCTTGGAGAAAATTTATTTGTTGGTTATGCGATCTGAATTTTGCTGTTTGTTGTTATACCCGTTACTCGTAGAGTAAAAGGGTATACTAGATTCGTCGGAAAGTATGTAACAGGCAGAAGGAAGCGTTTCCCACCCCATCAAGTATATATATTCTTAGTCAGGATCACTAGCCGAGTCGATCTAGCCATGTCCGTCTGTCCGTATGAACGCTGAGATCTCGGAAACTATACAAGGTACAATATTGGGATTAGGCATGCAGATTCCTGAGATTCCTGCGCAGCGCAAGTTTGTCAGCAGATTGCCACGCCCACTCTAACGCCCACAAACCGCCCAAAACTCTGACTCCTACAGTTTTGATGCTAGAATAAAAATTTTAACTGAAATGTATTGTTCTCGTCAATACCTATTGATTGACCCAACAAAAAATTTGCCACGCCCACTCTAACGCCCACAAACCGCCCAAAACTGTGGCTCCTACAGTTTTGATGCTAGAACAAAAATTTAACTGAAATGTATTGGTCTCGTCAATACCTATCGATTGATCTGAAAACAAATTTGCCACGCCGACTCTAACGCCCATAACGCTTAAATCTGTCCAGCGCCGGTAGGTGGCGCATTTCAACCTCGCTTTGCTGCTTGCATATCTCCATTTCCCTTTGGTCCCATTAGCTGAGTAACGGGTATCTGATAGTCGAGGTACTCGACTATAGCGTTCTTCCTTGTTTATTTTTTGTTTTGCTAAATTGTTATCAAATGCGGAAAGACAACAATTTTCAGAAAACTTAGGTAAGAAAGTCTTTTTTTTAATTGTAATAGAAATATATGTACTCTAACACTTAAATATTTAGAGAACTCGGGATACTATTCTAACCGCAATACAATTTTTAAGTTGTAGTATTTGTTTTTTATATATGAACGATTCGTTTTTTAAATGTCTCTTTTCCAAAAATGAGTATTTTTCAAAAGTTTAAAGGCGGAAAGTTGCTAAGCATATTACTGTAAATGTTCGGTGCTAAAATTTTAGCGGAGTTAAATACTACAGCTCTTGGCGTAAGCCAAAATTGTATGGTATGGTGACAAACTGGTAAATACACACTAAGACAAGAGAAAACGCAATAGTCGATGCCATCGACTAAAAAATACCCGTTACTCAGCCAAGAAAGAGATGGAGATATGCAGCAAAGCGACTCTTGACAAATTCACACCCCAAAGGCACATCCTTGCAGCGATTTCTTTATTTGCTGGCAACTTTTTAGTGGATGGTCCGATTCCGAACATTTTTGGGAAGAAGATATTGAAAATCAAAATAAAATTGCACCTAAACTTTTTCAAAATCTTCAAAAATTTGGGCGCTAGACAGGTTTTAGAGTGGGCGTGTGGGCGTTAGAGTGCGCGTTGCACCCTGCTGAAATAAACTTTCGCTGTCCCATAACCTCAAGAATCTGCATTTCAAGTCCCAACTAGCTTTTATACCTCCGAGATCTCTGCGTTCATAAGGACGAACAGACAGACGGACATGGGTAGATCGACTCGGCTAGTGATCCTGATCGAGCACATAAATACTTTATAGGGTCGGAAACGCTTCCTTCTGCCTGTTCACACTTTCCGAGGAATCTAGTACACCCTTTAATCTCCACTAGTAAACTATGTATGTACATACTTATATATTGATCTTGAATTTTTGTTTTTGCTTTGGATTGGTGATACTCAACTATTTTTAGCTTTGACTGACTATCGCGGAAGCGCGATTTGCGCTAAGATCGACTTTTTGATGGAACATCATGCGAATTTATCCTGTCCGTTACGGTTGTCGAATTGTGATTAAAAAATCAGTGACTCAATTCGCTACAGATTCTTTGAGCGAACATAATCAGGTAGTCACCTAAAAAGTTTTAAATTTATATAATTTTTTAGGAATCAGTAAAAAAGGCAGGAAAGTCATTACATTGCCTCAAGTTTAGGTTAGGTTAGGTTAGGGCGGCTGTCGGACTATAGTCCGACACACTTAGACCTCAATTGGTCCATTGTGATACCGCATGATCTCGTTCTTCCTTCTCTAGGGTCCCGTTTCTAGTAGTTTCAGCCTGTGTTAAGCTGATCAGCACGACTTCCACCCGGAAGATTTAATAAAGGCACTTATGCTTTTGAGATTAATCTCCGATATTTCGGTAAGATCGTCGATGAAGGGGCTTCTTAAGTGTTTCAGTCTGAGTCTGCATAGGGCTGGGCAGAAGCAGAGAAGGTGTTCTACCGTTTCCACTTCTTCCTCATCCCTACAGCTTCTGCAGAAATCATTTTGCGGGGCTTTTAGCCTGCCGGCATGTGCGCCAACAAGCCAGTGGCCTGTAAGAGGTCGGATCAACATGCCACACTCTGTGCGGCTGAGTTTGAGTAACTCCGAGGCTTTTTTGTTGTTTATCACAGGCCATGTCTGGTGAGAGATGCGACACTGTGGTGCGTTTTGCCAATGGGTGCTGGCTAGTGTGTTCAAGTGGTTTTTTATGTTTAGCTTCCAAGTAGCCATGGGCATACCGACATTTTCCTCTCCTGGTAGGAGAGGAGAGATCTGCGACAGTCTGCTATTGTACGGGAGTTGGTATTTGTCGAGTAGATCGACTTAATAGCCGCTTGGCTGTCACTATATATGTTTAGGTGTCCTCTCTGGAGGCTAAAGTTCCTTAAACAGGTTAGTGCTTCTTTTATAGCGTGGACCTCCGCCTGAAAGACGCTACAGTGGTCCGGAGCCCTGAATGACTTCCTAATATCTAATTGTTCGGAGTATACTCCTCCGCCAACGTGTCCTTCTAATTTGGAGCCATCTGTATAGAAACAGATTGCGTCCGTCGTGCCCGGTCGGTCCTGTTCCCATTCCTCTCTATCAGGAATCAGGGCCTCAAATGGTGTGTGAGTATATTCAATGGATTTGCATAGATCCGTGATCTTCGGAATCGATTTATCATGCTGGAGAATTTAAGCATGGCCATAAAATTGGGCTTTCCACTGCCCTGTGTCCCTCAGTCGAATAGCTGCCGATTTGGCCCTTTCCATGCCTGCTAAGTCCAGGCTAGGGAGGTTCAAGATCGCATTCAGCGCTTCATTCGGGGTGGTTCGAAGGGCTCCACTAATACACAAAGCCGCCATTCGCTGTACTTTGTTTAGAGGAGTCAGTATGCATTGTTTGTGCAAGGCGGTCCACCACAGAGCCATTCCGTACAGTAGGATTGGCTTGACTACCGCTGTGTATATCCATTCTTGGGGACATGCCCCATCTTAGCCCGATTGCTTTTTAACAGGAGTAAAGTGCAATGATCGCTATTTTGGTTCTCTCTTGGTTGTTTAAGCCCCATTTGAGGCGTTTATCTAGACTAACCCCAAGTACCTGGCGTACCTCTAAAAGAGAGATTACAATTATTTAAAATGGGTGGGTTAAGTTGTGGAATTTTGTACCTATTTGTAAATAGAACAAGTGTAAATAGAACAAGTTCTGTTTTCGAGGGGTTTACCCCGAGTCCGTTCGCTATCGTCCATTCCGATAGTATTTTGAGTTTAGCGGTCATAAGATCGCAAAGTGTTTGTGGATATTTTCCATTAAAGATGATGGCGACGTCGTCTGCGTATGCCACGACCTTACAACCTCCTCCCTCCAGAATCCGCAGTAGTTTATTTACTGCGATATTCCACAAGAGGGGTGATAGTACACCTCCTTGCGGGGTGCCTCTGTTCACTAGTCTAGTCTGGGTTGAGGTCCCTAGTGTGGCTGTGACCATTCTGCTTATCAGCAATTTATGGATTAGCCTCACCATTGGCGGCTCAACCCCTAGTTCTGTGAGAGATTCTGTTAAAGCAGTGGGAAGCACGTTATTGAAGGCTCCCTCTATATCCAGGAAGGCGATCAGTGTGTATTCCTTGGTGTTGAGTGATTTCTCGATGCTGCTTACCACCAAGTGTAGCGCCGATTCGGTTGACTTACCTTTGGTGTAGGCGTGTTGTGCTTCTGATATTTGTGTCGGGTCTACGGTGGCCCTTATGTGTAGGCTTATCATTCTTTCAAAGCTCTTAAGCAGGAATGATGTTAGGCTTATTGGCCTAAAATCCTTTGCTGTGGTGTGAGTGGCCTCCCCTGCCTTGGCTTATCCCACCAGCTTATTCACAGTTGGCCTCGAGAGAGGTCGTCCGCCATCCGCAACCTGCGACCCGCTCGGTTGCCCCAGCTAGGCGACTTTGAAACCATCTCACAAGTTCCTCATCTCACAAGTAAAAATTTAATAATCTAGACCATATGTGACCTAAAAATTAAGTATTTTCAAAAACATTTTATATTTGAATTAGTAAGATAAGTAAATAGTTTATCTCTCTGACAAAACAAACATTTTAATTTGAGCACGGTGGAAATCTATTCTCTAACCTCTAGTTTACGGAACACTGTTTGTAGAATTGTCATACACTGTGTTATTAGGACATATGGATTAATTTTAGGGTATTCATTGGCATAAAAACTTAATTTACTATCATCTTAAAAGTAAAATCGTAGTCCAATTTTGTTTATTTTTTGGCAACCAATTATCTAAAACTAAAATTGTAGTCCATTTAAAGTATTTAATTTATTTATTATTAAAAATTAATTTATTTTCCGTTGTTTATTTTGCTTCCAGTTTATTAGGCCCATTTCCAGAGAGTCGAGTCGCAATGACTATTTCACGGTTTCGGAAGCAGCTTGTCTTATGTTTTACACTGATTATGCTACCTTTAGTCAGTGCCGACTATCAGGGCAACATGTTCCTAAACGGCCAGTACCAAAACGGCATCAAGGTTCAAAAGGAAACACAAGATTCAGTAAACCCCTCATCGAACGTGTTTCTTAACCACGCCATCATCAGCAGGCAAGCGTCCCCATTCCAGGGACCACCCTATCTGCCACCCAAGGAGTACCTAAAGTGCGATCCCGGCCAGCAATGTGTTCGCCATGTTCAGTGCCTGAACGGATTCTTTACCCAAAAGTTTCCAAGGATACAAGTAAGTTGGTGGCTCTTAACAGATAACAGGAATACTTAAAACTCTCGAGCAGACGATGTGATACCCTAATATTAATTTGTCAATGGCATTGTTCACAAAATGGATACATTTTAAGGGAACAGTAAAAAAGTAGAAGCTTATGCCTTCCTGTCCGTTTACTCCCGACGAAGACTTTAATCGAAAATTTTAGAGCTTGTCTGCAGCGATATGGCACAAAATATTGCGGGCGTTGGTTGCTTGATCTGCATTTTCTGTATTGCGAAGCACTCGTAGTTGCCCCTAAAGAGGGTATATTGATTTCAGTCAGAAGTTTGCAACGCAGTGAAGGAGACGTTTCCGATCTCATAAAGTATATACATTTTTGATCAGCGTGACTAGACGAGTCGATCTAGCCATGTCCGTCTGTCCGTCCGTTTCTACGCAAACTAGTCTCTCAGTTTTAAAGGTATCGGGATGAAACTTTCCCAAAAGTCTTATATTTTTTTCAGGTAGTATATAAGTCGGAACCAGCCGGACTTGACAACTATACCTTATAGCTCCCATAGAAATAATCGGAAAAAAAATTTTAAAAATATATAGCTTTGGTGTTTTTATACCCGTTACTCGTAGAGTAAAAGGGTATACTAGATTCGTCGGAAAGTATGTAACAGGCAGAAGGAAGCGTTTCCGACCCCATAAAGTATATATATTCTTGATCAAGATCACTAGCCGAGTCGATCTGGCCATGTCCGTCTGTCCGTATGAACGCTGAGATCTCGGAAACTATGAGAGTTACAATACTGGGATTAGGCACGCAGATTCCTGAGATTCCTGCGCAGCGCAAGTTTGTTTCAGTAGAGTGCCACGCCCACTCTAACGCCCACAAACCGCCCAAAACTGTGGCTCCTACAGTTTTGATGCTAGAATAAAAATTTTAACTGAAGTGTATTGTTCTCATCAATACCTATCGATTGACCCAAAAAAAAGTTTGCCACGCCCACTTTAACGCCTACAAACCGCGAAAACCTGTGACGCCCACAATTTTCATGCTAGATAAAAAATTTTAACTGTAATGTATTGGTCTCGTCAATACCTATCGATTGAAAAAAAAATTTGCCACGTCCACTCTAACGCTCATAACGCTTAAATCTGTATACCGCCGGTAGGTGGCGCATTTTAATCTCGCTTTGCTGCTTGCATATCTCCATTTAGCTGAGTAACGGGTATCTGATAGTCGAGGTACTCGACTATAGCGTTCTTCCTTGTTTAACATATAACCTCCTAAGCTTAGAAATAACATTTTTTAATTAGTTTTGAATTTCGAATTAAATTTTATCAAAATCGAACGACTATATCATATAGCTGCCATAGGAACGATCGAAAAATTGGTGGGAAAATAATATGAAACAAATTATAGCTTCGGTGTTTTTTAACATATAACCACCTACGCTTGGAAATAACACTTTTTAATTAGTTCCGAATTTCGGATTTAATTTGATCAAAATCGGACGACTATAACATATAGCTATAGGAAAATTGGTGGGAAAATAATATAAAACAAATTATAGCTTCGGTGTTTTTTGACATATTATCTTATACTATTGGGAATATCATTTTTGGTGTTTTTAAATTTAATAATTATAGCTGCAAGGGTATACAAGCTTCGGCTTGCCGAAGCTAACTTCCTTTCTTGTTAAGTCTTGGTATGTACATTTTTGCAAATCGGAATAACTATCTGTCCAATACTAAAGTCAATCTGTCTGATTGGCGTGCGAAAAAAAACTAAACGAAAAAATTTTCAGGGAAATATTTTGCCTGACTAATTAATTGTATATGTGAATAATTAGTTATTCGATTGAAAGATAACCAACTACGACACAAATTACAAGGAATTGTGCTAGAAGTGTTATAAATATTCCCTAGTTCCATTGCTTTTTTTATGTGCTAATCAACCTGTGCGTTAAGTTCACATGTACATATTTATGTATTCAGACTCGAACTATGCCAAATTTAGTTCCGGGGCCGTGGGTATGTTAAGGTGATTCATTTACAGTCATTTAAGCTAAGCTTGCCACAACAAAACTGGAATCATTTCAGAGATACATAAACCAGATTGGAGTACTTTCCCAAAACGAAAGAGGTGATTCAAGCATGCTATTTAATACCCATTTAGCATGTCCAACTCGCGTTCAGGCCAAAGATATTCAATAGTCAAGGTCAAGCTTCAAAATAATCTTAGAAACAATTAAAAGGTTTTAGATTTTAGCTTTTCTTGCTTGAGAAGACGTTAAAGCGGACATAAACAAGTGGAATTAGACAGTTTAATTTGTAATATTTAGAGGTAGATGATATATAAAATGCCAGTTCTGGCAACTCTGCTATCTGAACTGGTTATTTCCAATCTTCTTCATGACACGACATTCCTTTTCTGCAAGTAATACCCATCGGGAAATTTTTTGAGTTACACATGTGGTTTCTAATCTTTGGCCACAGTTACTAATATGCAAAAGTTCAGTTGCTAAATGCCAGCTGACCAATCGAAGTGAGATAATAAAATTTAGCAATATAAGCAAAGGTCCGCCAAGACTGCAGCGGAAAAGTTCAACGCATTGCAACTAGCAGTTGAGAGGTCATCTTTCTGCGTATCACTTATGAAGTGGTTAACATCGGTGAACTTTTAGCTAAGATGACTTTGTTGCTGGGTCGTGCTGGTAACTTTGTGTTGGTCAATTAAGCCCTATAATTAACCTACGCAGAGGCGAACCTGTTTTCTTGCCACTGATATTACTCAGCTTTGAAATTAAAAATTGGTGAAACTTATTTTACCTTAAAATTGGAGGACACTTGGAAAATTTGCGAATATTCGCATAAGGCACACGGCAAAAGTTCCGCCACACGAGTGGTAGTCGGTGTACAGTTTTTAACCGACAATTTTACATGCACGGATTTTTGTTCTATGTACTGGTGCTCTGCAACACTGCGTAAACGATCTTCCTTCTCTTTTTGACGCATGTGAATGCACTGCAGGTCAGTGTGAAGAGAGGAAATGCAAAGAGCGTAAAGCCTCTGTCCTGCGCCCCTACCATTACTTTTCAACTATATCATTTTATATCAGAGCAGCTGACACACGAGAACACGCTATAGTCGCTGGTCTCGACTATTAGATACCCGTTACTCAGTGCGAGAGGGAAACCAGCTCTAGGTGCAACACACCTAGCCACCTATCTTTATACCCGTTACTCGTAGAGTAAAAGGGAATACTAGATTCGTAGAAAAGTATGTAACAGGCAGAAGGAAGCGTTTCCGACTCCATAAAGTATATATATTCTTGATCAGGATCACTAGCCGAGTAGATCTAGCCATGTCCGTCTGTCCGTCTGTCTGTCTGTCCGGATGAACGCTGAGATCTCGGAAACTATAAGAGCTAGGCTATTGAGATTTGGCGTGCAGATTCCTGAGCTTCTTACGCAGCGCAAGTTTGTTTCAGCAGAGTGCCACGCCCACTCCAACGCCCACAAACCGCCCAAACTGTGGCTCCTACAGTTTTGATGCTAGAATAAAAATTTTAACTGAAGTGTATTGTTCTCATCAATACCTATCGATTGACCCCAAACAAATTTTGCCACGCCCACTTTACCGCCCACAATCCGCCCAAGCCTGTGACGCCCACAATTTTCATGCTAGATAAAAAATTTTAACTGAAATGTATTGGTCTCGTCAATACCTATCGATTGATCCAAAAATAAATTTGCCACGCCCACTCTAACGCCCATAACGCTTAAATCTGTCTACCGCCGGTAGGTGGCGCATTTTAATCTCGCTTTGCTGCTTGCATATCTCCATTTAGCTGAGTAACGGGTATCTGATAGTCGAGGTACTCGACTGTAGCGTTCTTCCTTGTTTTCTTCTATAGCGCCACTTGGCTTACAGCGCCAAGAAGCTTATGGCGCCCCTATCGGCTTGGCGTCTTATTAGTGAAAACAGCTAATTTTCTGCATGTAATGTGCAATCTCGATTGAATTCCAAAATATTGATTATTTTTGTCTAGTACAATCTTTTACTCTACGAGTAACTGGTATAACAAAAAAAAATGCTGTAGTTGATGGCCTCGACTATTAGATACCCGCCACGTATCTTCTTCTTCTATAGCTCCACTTGGCTTACAGCGCCAACTAGCCTGCCCCTAGCGGCTTGGTGGCGTGTTAGTGAAAACAGCTTATTTGCAGCATGTGGTGAGCAATCTAGATTTAATTTAAAAATATTGATTATTTTTGGCTATAACTTTTTAAAGACTGGTCCGGTTTCAATAATTTTTTCAATTTTAAAAACATGGAAATGTTATTCTTTGAAAGGAAAAATTAATTTAAATTTTCAAACTTATTTATTTGGCTGCAAAGTGCATTTAAAATGCTTAAATCAACCGAAAAGAAATATCTCCACCAATAAGAATATTCAGGGGAACTGGGTTGGGGACAAAGAGATAATGTTGCAAAGACCAAAGCCAACTGGCGAATTGGGGTAATACGCAACGGGGTAACAAGATTACAGTAAAATGTGTCAAAGGGATACCAGGAAAAGAAGGCCAAAAATAGAGTTAGTTAATTTAGTGTTAAGTCCGCGGAATTAAAAAAAATTGTAAAATTTGTTGAAGTATTTCGACAGTCTATAATATTTCTATGGAGAGAAATGGTGTTAAAATCTCTACTACCACTTAGGCGGCGGGAAAGCTAGTAATACCCGTTACTCGTAGAGTAAAAGGGTAAACTAGATTCATCGGAAAGTATGTAACAGGTCATAAGAAGCGTTTCCGATCTCATAAAGTATATATATTCTTGATAAGGATCACTAGCCGAGTCCATATAGCCATGTCCGTCTGTCTGTCCGTCCGGATGAACACTGAGATCTCGGAAACTACAAAAGCTAGAAAGTTGGGATTTGGTATGTAGACTCCTGAGCTTCTTGCGCAGCGAAAGTTTGTTTCAGCAGGGTGTTACACCCACTCTTACACCCACAAATTTTAA